AATGAAGAAAAACTTTAATACAAGTTTAACACAACAGCAAATGTACAACGTTTCGACAAGGGTTTGTCATCATCAGGTACCTTGTCAAAACGTTGTACATTTGCTGTTGTGTTAAACTTGTATTAAAGTTTTTCTTCATTACCCATTCAAGCCGTCTCCAGCCATTATTAGTCTCAAAGTGGGTTCCTCATCATCGAATTTTAATAGTCTTTAAACGGGCAAAATTAAAATGCATTATTTTTTATTTATTGTTTGTTGTTAAACACAAAACTATGAACATGGCTATCTGTTATCAGCCCACCAAAAATATAAAAACCCAATTATCAGCGATTTAAAGCCCTCAGACTTACTACTGAGCCACTAAGAGGCCATTGTTATTTAAATGCTGATTTGTCCTCAACTGATTAACAAGGTAAGTTTCTTTTTCAAGAGGTACAGAACAAAAAAGGCAACTAACTAAAGTAAACATGTTAACCTTTATTTGCTGAAAACAACATGGTAATTACACGTTACAAAACACGTCTCAAATGAAATGTTTTAATTTTATAATACACCTTCAGCAGTCTGAAATAAAGATGAAAAGTTCAAATATGATTTGTTTTTTATATTACTCTCCCTCGTAAAGGGTTTATTAGAATGAATGAACGATTCTGTAGCACATCATGACGAGGTACTGTTAGCTTGCTTTGAAAGAAATATAAATGCTGGATTACTGAATGCTCCAATACGCTTTTGAACATCTACAGCTCGTACGGCAAAATGATATTTGTGTCCTTCTACAAACTGGGTCAGAGTGCAGGCCATAGGCAGGGGCAAGGCTTTCACATCCCCTACTTTCTTCCACATACTAGTATTTGGGGGTCCTGCACCTTCCTGGTAAGCATAGAGCTGGTAGGTGACAACAGTAGGGTAGGAAGAGTTCAACATCATGTTCCATGACAGGACGATACCTATTATAATCAGAAATAAAACAAGCAAGGATGTTCTAGTGTATAAAAATAACCTCTGATGTTCAAAAGCATGATTGCAAAACAAGGTTTCCTTGCAGTTCTGTAATATACATGTCATCAACTTTCAGCAAGAAGTTTGATCTGTGTACTTTCTTGATCATCAATAAAAAAACGTGAAGTGCTCTTGGGAGAAAATGAAGCCACAATGACGATACATGGTATGTCACAAGTGCCGTACTAGTGTATGTCATGTCCAGGATGTGTAAGTTACATTACAAATTGTAGGCTGTTACTTGTGTTAATAGTTTATGTATAATCATGGAATGTTGGTAAATGTTGACAAAACCAGCCTTATCTGTTAAAATGCAAGATTGTCACTAGCATAATAACAATGCTGAAATGTAATACTGTTACGTTGTAAACTAATGGGCTGTTAAAAACATTTTAAAAATGACAGATTGGATTATTCAAGCATTATTTAGCTATTACAATGTTAAAATTCTGGGCTATTCAAGCTTTGGTAAAGTTCTAGAATGATTTATCACTGTTGCATTGCTAAGCTGGTTATACAACATTAAACATGCTAGGCTGTTCTGTTATGTTAAAAAACCAGGATAAACTAGCCTTAGGTAGAGTATTATTAAAATCATTGGTTTACCTAGTATATTAAAATTACGGGTTGCCAAGCTTTTCTAGCATTGTTAATGTGCTAGTCTATTTTAACATGTTAAGATGCTAAGCTACTCGTTTACCCTAGTATTAAGATAGCAGTAACGACAGTTAAACTGTTGTTCTGCTGCTGAACTGCTCTAGAATCATTATCATGTTGAAATATTTCAATTTTATTAAACAGTTGGATATGTACATACCATTCACCACCCTAGATGCCTTTAGGGCAGGCTTAGGTGGAAGACCCTTAACATCTGAAGGTAATACAGCCTCAGGAAGTGGAGCTGGATGCTGAAAAAAATACGATAGCCCGAGATGAGAACAACGTAACAATTCTCACTTGCCCCAGTTTCATAAGGAAGTTCATCAATCTTTAGATAACTACTACTTCCAAATTGTCTTTTCAAATAAACATGTAAAAAAACAAAATATATTTATCAGGGTATATTAAATGCTTTCAAGTAACATGAAAAAAGTACTTGCCAATTTAACATTTCTAAAACCCTTTCTAGTTAACAGGTAATTTAATCTCAAAAGATTAGAATATAGACCATCAATTAAAGCTTGGAGGTTTATCTCTTATTTGTGCTATGCTTAGTACTAATAAGTAAAGCTTTTTCAGGGCTTATAAGACTTTGTTTGTTTGTTATTAAGTGCAAAACTACACAATGGGATATCTGTGCTGTGCCCACCAGAGGTATTAAAACCTGATTTTTTAATGTTATAAGCCTTAAGTCTTACTGTTGAGCCACTTGGGGAGGCAAGTTATATTTATGCTAGAGGTTTGTAGGGGTTGGTACTGCTGGAAATTTTATATTTTAATATATTGCACAAATTCTTTGCTTACCAACATCATTTCATCAACTCATTGGTTAACCAGCCATCATTTAACATAGGTTGCAACACATTGTACCATTGGTGGATTGCACCATGTATTTCATCAACCTATGTACAAATTGATCCAATCAGAAAGCACCATTCAATAAAGACTATGGCAAAATTAGATGTTGCTACATTTGTACTTATGTTCTCAACTTGCTACCCAGGTCGATAACCAGGTAGAAACCTTGAAAACTTTAAGTTTAAAAAAATACCACGAAAAACCAGTTACAAGGAAATGTACTACTATGATATGCATACCACTGTGGTGAAAACCAACCGATATACCAGTAAAACTACACATTACTAGTGGTCTGTGTCTATGGATGATAACAAAATGCATCTATAGTGTGGTGGGGTACAAACATTTTCTTTTAATTTGTGAAGGGGTTTGTGACCTACAAAGAAAACTACATATTTTGTTAACTCTCTCAATATGGGTTTGGTCGATTTGATCGATCATGTGACCTCTTTGTACTCATTTAAAGTCTTTATAGATCTGATACTACTAACTTTCAATATAGTATGTATATCTTCACTAAATTTTGCACTATTTCAGTCAACATTATAAGTCTTTCACATATACAAAATCATATTTCTTAGTGAAGAAATTTTTATAAGCTAAAAAAAAAGATTTGTCTGTTTTGATAGTCTGTGTGCAAAGTGATTTCATGTTAAGATTAAAAATACTTTTCTTCATCTCAAAAATCTCAAATTTCGTATGTGTAATCTCTAAAACCTCCTAAATACATTTCAAATGTTTGTTTTCAGTAAAACTTTATATTTTATCTGTAATTGTCTCTAACATTAATCTGTACAAGGTTGGTCAATTTGACTGACCTCGTAACCACCAAAAAATAAATAAAAATTAATCTAAATTACCCTCTTTTCCTTTCTAAAATGACTTCAAATTGTAACATGAAACTACATTCATTTATCCTAAGTAGCTTAAAACTCTTAACAGTATACATCTATTTATAAGTAAATTTTGTTTTATTACCCTTTGAACTATGGCTAACTATTATTTGCACCATTATAAATAGAAAATCACTTGGGAACATGCAGCTCATGTTAAACTATCATATTATGTTACCCACGAGCTGCTCGCATGCGTGCCTTGGGAAATATTTTTATTATATTATTATTATCTATTTTACCTAATCTAACCTTAACTAACCTAACGAGATCCATATTTTTACATTTTAGTTACTTTTATAATAATAAGTAAAGAATAAACATGAAAAACAATGACACAACTCGTGGGAACAAAGCTTGTACTAAAGTGAAATTGAAAATTCTCTGTTCAGAACACAACATAATATAATACGTCATTTGATAGATGAAAACCTTGGCTTTCTACTGGTTATAGATAATATATAATTAAACGTATGAGAGAACTATTAACAAATCCTAAAAGAGAGTATGTGACAGGTGGGTGTGGCAAGAGGGGGTAAGATTTCCTATTTGATGGCTCTGTAACCAAACAAAATTGAAAGCTATAAAAATTATGGCTTGTCTGAGCAATGACAATTTATGTTACATCTCGTACTTATTGGAGGGGTGGTGAACTAAATAGAGAAGATGGGATGCCTACAGAAAATGTGTCACCATTCTCACATTAGGGGAAATTCAGGATTTTTTTAAATATTGCCTTATAAAACTAAGAACTTAAAACTTATAAACTATTAAAATATGGATTATTAGCTAAGATTTTATGCTATACTAAGAGAATTTTAATAAAATTTTGAATGAAAGTCACTAAAAGCTCATGACATGCATAGTAAATGATGCCCAGGCAGATAGAGTTAATATTGAGTCTGATTGGTAGCTGTTAATAAAGTCTACCTGGGATATACAAGATATCATTACAGTGCCACTAGTAACAGTAGAAGTAACTGTGCTTTGGGTTCTTCCAGGAGTTGCTACCAAAAGAGACACTGCATCTGAAGTTGTTTTTTGTGGAGTGGTGGTGCTAGATGCTACTGTTGTTACGACACTTCCAGCTGAATTTGGCACAATAGTCCGTAAAGTCACGGTTGGGCTGTTTACCGTCTGAAGTAACCTGGGTACAACTACAAAGAAAATGATAATGAAAATCAACGATTATATATCTGGTATGGAAGTCATAAAACTGGAGACTAGAAGTCCTGTGATAAACTGATATTTTTTTTTATTTTTGTCATACTTAATTTTTTCCTGAAAATTGTCTTGACCTCTTTTACCAATAATTTATATTCCATATGAAACACAAAAACTACACATTTTCTGAACATATTAAATGTTCTCCAAAAATCAGAATAATTTTAAAAACACGTACCAAAAATGTTTGTCACTAAATAATTTCTATATTATCACGACCATCTGCAAACTTGAAGCAGAGAATTATCCAACACACTATCCATCTTCACTAAGACTACTTAGATTGAGTTTGAGAAACAATTTCAAAAACCATAGCATTTCTTTGAAGGTGATCAAATTTGGTATTTATTTTTATTTTTTTACTTTGTAGTAATTTTTTACAACTACTAAACAGAGCTCAATCTTGCTATGTGTAAAAATTTCTTAGCCAACTGGCTAAGCCCTAAACTACTAATTATGGTTTCCTATTTGACAAAGCTGGTAAATCAAATACATTTAGAAAAAAATTTAAAATGCAATAAAGAAATAATAAACATCATTAAATTAAATGCAGCTCTAGAAAATGGTATAGCTTGATTGAGTGTTGGAAATACTATCAATTATGACTTCTAGTGGAAATGTCCATTGCCACTTTTAGTTACATATATTACAGTTATTTTGTTATAGCTTAACTCACCTCCAGACTGAGGTGATGCCATGCGAACCAAGAAAGTCTGTAGTGGTTGTCGAGCACTACTGGTAATTCCCGAAGACGATGAGAAAGTAACTGCTGATGTGAGAAGTGGGGGAGATTCGATCTTTTTACTCAGCAAAGCTGTTGAAGAAGCAGGAATTAGGTAAGTGACCTTCGTTCCTTGCGGTATACCCTGAGAAAGTACTGAGGAAGATGATCTAGCCAGCCTTAAAGTTGTCCCAGTTGAGGAAAGGAAAGAAGATGAAATCGGGGCACCTGCTGGAATAACTCGTACCACAGATGGCACCGAGTTATAGATAGTAGGCATGCTGACTACTCCACTAGATGGCCCAATCTGAATAGTGCTTGATAAACTACTTCCTTGGGGAGAAGGCTTGACAACTAAATGCAGGAAAAAACAAAACAAAAAGAAGTTAGTGTAAATAAAAACATAGAGACAAATAGTAGTTTCTAAGGTAAAAAAATTACTAGGAACTGTTTTTTAATCCAAATCAGAACATAACTAAATAAGAAATACAGTGCTTCAGGCTTACTTGAAGATTATTGTAATATACTCTACTGGCAAGTAAAATTGGGAGATTAGCTGTCTTTGTTAAGTGATAAATCGATGGTTCCATTAATCAATTAGTAAAGTGTTCTTCAAATCATGGTATAAGCAAGAAAAATTTATATTGGGTGCTGCCAGCCAGTTGCCTTCCCTCTAGTTAGCAGTTCAAAAACAAGAGGAAATCCTCAATAGCTGTGGTACTTGAAATTCTTTTAGGCAGAATAAGAGAGCATTAATCTGTAAGACCTTTTTTCTTAGCTATACTGCAATACCAAGCATGGGGGGGTATACCTGATTTAATATAATTACTCATCAGGACCTCTACCAGCCTACCCTCAAATTGAAATTCTTTTAGGTAGGATTAAAGTAAATTAATCTACGAGACGTTGGGCATGGTCATATACATCAATCCAAAGGGTTTGACCTCTTGAGTCCAAAACTGTAATTAGATCTCAAATCAGTCAAGAGATAAAGGAGATATGATGTAAAAGTCTGTAGTTGATAAAAAAACTCAGAGCCATTCTATGAGCTGCTATGCCATGGCTATAAATCAGTGGCAGAGTCTGTCGGACATTTGCCTTCCCTCTAGTCAGACAATGGCCGATAGCCTTATAGCAATTAAATCACCCAATCTGAACAAACTTGAAGTAAAAAAAACAAACAACTACTTCAGTCTAAAACTGGACAGAGCACAGGTAACCCATTATATAGATTTGTGTTTAAAAAACATAACAGTAATATTTTGATTACTAAGTTGATATAACTGAAAACTAATTTTGATTAGTTGACTGTTTTCATGGCAATCAATAAAATCAGGTTTTTCTAGTAATCAACTGTTGACATAATCAGAAACACTAATGTTAATTAGTTGTTTATTTTCTTAACAATCCATATAATTGGTATTTTGTTTAATCAACTGTTGTAATAATAAAAAAAAAAAAAAGAGTAATAATTGAAAACAATAATTCTGATTAATTGCTTACATCAATTAAATCAACCAGCTCTACTGGTACTTGCAGAGAAAGTTTTAATTTTTCTGCAAATTTTCACCTTAACCATAATTTAAACAGAAAGACAAGATTATTCAAGATAAACCTAGACTGAGTGCTTATCGATGTTGTTTCTCTTCAATGCCTTGAGGCTCATGTTATCAGAACAGCCAGATGGCAGCAGACTACAGTAGAAAAGCATAAAAAATGTGAATATTGTAAATACTACAGGTAAAGAAATGTTTTTTTTTTGTCAAACTCTGGTCGATCTTCAGGTATGACATTACTATCATAGCAACAATGACCATGCACTATGTCATACGTAGTCTTAATAAAAAGCTACTGCTTAATTCTCAAAGCTAAGCACTGAGTAAAAACACCTACAGTAGATATGTACAATCAATCTTCGCATACAAAATTTAAATCCCTAATTTTTTATGTATCATATCAAACCAGTGCCAGATTTACTGGGGGTGCAACCCATTCAACTGCATGGGGGTTTTCAGCCCCAAAGAAAGGGGGTCTCAAATTTGAATCACCTTAGGAAGGGGGCCTCTAGCATCGCAGTCTTGCACAATGACATCAAAAGGTCTACATCTGTCTCTGTATTAAATTGAAACATACCCGAGTTTGTAGTAGATGTTGAAACTTTAGGAACGGATGTGATTGAACTGGCTGATTTTGAGTTTTTCTCCTCTTCTCTAGCCAGATCAATGACTTTGACAATTGAGTGAGAGGAAGAAGTTGTTTCCATTGGTCTGTGTGTTGTAACCGTGGTTGCCTGAGAGGTTGCTGCATTAGCAATCAAATGGATAGGTATGGGGGGAAGAGAGGAAGATCTCGTTCCAGTATCCTGCTAGGAAGAACAATCTTATTAACTTAACGATCTAGTAAATGGTTATATCACATAATTCTATTTCCAAGAGGTTTCAAACAATAAGAAAATATGTTATTTCAAACAGCTAAGTGTAAAGAACTGCAGTAGTTTGTCATTAACAAACAGGCTTGAAAAATAGCATTTGTTTGAAATATCTCCATCAAGGAAATAAAATATAAAACTGAAGTTCTTTTAGGTGATTTATTTCCAAGAGTCTAATTTATTAACTGACATAATATAGTCTAATTTATTAACTGACATCATACAGTCTAATTTATTAACTGACATCATACAGCCTAATCTATTAACTGACACCATACAGTCTAATTTATTAATTGACACCATACAGTCTAATTTATTGATTGACATCATACAGTCTAATCTATCAATTGTCATCTTTGCATATTTTTGTTTCTTCCTTTGCTTAATTCTATACCAACTTTCAGAAATTTATTTTTCTTCCTTGATCATGTATTAGTATACCAACATCTTGTATTCTATACCAACTTTCAATAAACTAATTTTTCTTGCCTGATGATGTATTGGTAAACCAACATCCTTAATTTTATAACAACTGTAAATAAACTAATTTTTTCCCCCGATGAAGTAGTGGTATACCAACATCCTTAATTCTATACCAAATTTAAATAAGCTCATGTTTATTCTATAATGATGTATGGGGTTATAGAGTTTTACAGACTTCTTGAACCTACATGTTTTTCTGACACCATGAATGTATCTCCAAGTAAGGAACATGGACCCAATTTATGTAGGTATACCCATTTATTTCCTAACAAAGGTATCTTAGGTGACTCAGTGTTCAAATACCCACACGAACACTTAACTTTTATTAACCGACAACCAATCCCAACAAAATCCATCAGTGGAACAAAAATAAATGATGCCATAGCTATGACCACTTCCCTTCTCTGTCTGATTTCTGATAATTCACTTTGGCACTAATGACCTGAACCAATCCAATAACACTGTTTCTCTGAAATCAAAAACACAATGGCACATATATTTAGCCTCAGACCTGGCTGTTTCTAGCATAATCCGTAGACATTTGAACAGACTCATTTCCTCTGATTTCAACACATAAAACTGCACAATAATTAAACAACTCAACAATAAAATTCATCATTTTAACGAATTAACCAAACACCTATGCAAATTCAACCTCCAGCTTGCCTTCATTAATCACACAAACCTAATACCACTCACTAATTTTCTACAGCTTAACTTTTCTGGTATTTTTTATCTTGATCTCAAACTTCAAACACTTTATTTCTCCCAGCATTCTCCCACTCTTGTCTTCCTCTTCCAAGTTAGCCCAACCATCTCGTATTTCTACTTCAAACAGTTTTTCTGCTCTTCCCTGTCCAAATTCTACATCTCCTATCTCAGAAGCTACCACCATCTTACATTATAATACATCTATCACTTCTCCATCTAAAAACCCATTCACTCTCTCTCTCGCAGTGACCCTCCAAGTTTGTCTTTATGTTCTGCTAGTGGACTAAACATAAACCTAACTTCCCCGAAACATCACATTCCACAAATAGCAACATTCATTCTTCTTATGCTTCTGTTGTTTGTTCCTCTTTACTCACAAACCCTTCCACTCTCTTATCTTCAAACCTACACCAAATCAACACTAGTGTAAATAAAGCAAGTTCCACACTACAGTCTTCACCAGTCGATCATCCTCTTACTTCTATTGTAGAATTACCTTCCTCAGAACACCATAGTCCTTTGTCTGTTAGCATCAACTCTCACAATGACCAGCAATGCACTCTTTATGCTTCATTAATGTCACACACATACTCTGAAGAAGACAGCTACCCCTCTTTTTTCCCTTCTTTTATCTCACGATTACAACTTCATCGTCAACTTAAGCCAAGCTGCAAAACACTCAACTACAGCAGAAAACACCTATTTCAGAAACTCACTGAGAAATGTATAAAACATTATCAACAAGCCAACTTGGTAGTCTATAACATAAAAAAAACAACATATCTCCATCTATCACATTAAAAGCACCAATCACAACAGGAGCACACGATCAGAAATTCTGCAACAAGTGGCAAAAGATCCTTGAAAAAACCTCCTTAGAACTCATGAGTATCACTAAAAACTTCTGTCAATAATCTAAATAAAAAAATTTCCCACTATTATCACTTATACAATCCTTCACTGGAAGAAAAATACGAACTACAAAAATTTACAAAGAAGAGTGGTATATCCTTTCTTAAAAAGAATAACAAAAACTAGTCTCTTAACAATAACGCCAATTCAAAAAGTTATTCTAACAGCATTCTTTCCAATCCTCCTCTTTATCGTAAAGAAACTACTATAGTATCATGCACTCTACCAGAAACTATCAAAAATCCTTTATCTTACAAAGAACATCTTAAAAAACTGTTTAAAAACACTTCATATTTTAATACACATAAGCCTTCTCAAACTAACAAATCTGTTAAAAATAATAGTGACCTCATAAATCGCATGGGTAATGATGAACACTCACCACATATCTCTAATATTATTAATCGTTTGGTCACAATTCTCCCAGAAACAGAACTCAGTCTCCTTAGTAAATGGTTCAACTCCTGCCCAAACAATAAATTTGTTAATGAACCAGAACTTCTTTCTGACCTTCATGAGTCCTCTAGAAAACTAAGACTTCGCAAATTTTTTCACAACAAACTCCACCCTACTGAAAATCAACATACACTGAACTTCAAAGAAAAGTCTTCATGGACACCTCCACCAAACAGAGAACCACATTTAGAGAGTTATATTGAAGTAGTAGAAAATGACATAATATAGACCTTAAAATCTTCCAAAGAATGTCATAATAATATTAGCCAAAATTAAAGAACTGCTCTAAACAATCTTAAATTGAACAACAATATCATAATAAAGCCAACAGACAAGGGTGGAGCTATTGTTATTTTTAACAAAGATGAGTAAATTGCTGAAGCTAACTGCCAACTACAGAATACTAATTTCTTCAAGAAACTCTCACAGGATCTTACAACTCAGTTTATTAAGACTATAACTGATAAACTTAGAGAACTCCACCAAAATAATAAAACTAACAAAGAAACCATTCCAGTATTTGATACCCAGACAAGCTTGTCCATGTAGATTTTATCTTTTACCCACAATACACAAACCAAACAGTCCTGGCCGACCCATAATTTCAAACACAAACATACCTACTGAAAAGCTGTCTGCTTTTGTTGACCAACACATAAAATGTATTTCATCTACCCTCCCTTCTTACGTAAATGATACTACTTTTTTAATATCATAGAAGATATCAAAACCAACGGACACTTACCACCTAACAGTCTTCTTTCCACGATGGATGTTTCTTCCCTCTACACTAACATTCCACATGATGAAGGACTAGAAACTCCACCATAACCCTTTCTAAACCATCAGAATCTCAAACAGTAACTGATCTTGCCAGCCTCATCTTAACTCTGAACAAATGTGAATTCAATAACAAACATTAACCGCAGGTTAACAGTACTGCAATGGGTACTAGAATGGCTCCCAATTATGCCAATATTTTTACGAGTCATATTGAAAGTCAATTTTTACAAATAAGCTCTGTAAAACCTCATAAATGGAAACATTATGTAGGTGACATATTTTTTATTTGGACAGCTGGTTTTGAATCACTTAAAGATTTTATTTCATATGCAAATACCTTTCACAAAACAATCAAGTTTACCTTGAATTACTCTCCAACCCAAATTAATTTTCTTGACGTCACTGTCTTTTTAAAGGACGGAATTTTACACATTTACTTATACAAAAAACCTACAGACAGACCACAGTACCTTCACTATAAAAGCTATAATCCCACTCACACTAAACGGAACACTACCTACAGTCAGCAGAATATACAAAAACACTTCCTAGGAGCCCAGGTAACTTTCATGACATCACTCAACTCCCTTCATATATCACTCATTCACTTACACCACCATTCTCAGTTTACAACAGAAGATATATAACCCGAACACTTTTAAAAGGTGGATTTTTTTTTTTATTGCTTTATATCAGTATAAATACATTCTTAATGGTACAGCAACTTTAAATATGCTCATTTGTCTTCCTTAATGACATACTAGTATATAAACATCCTTAATCTATCCATTATAAGTTTATATATAACAAAAAACAACTGTAGATACAGCTTAAAACTTTATTTTTTCTTAATCTGCTTTGATTTTTACTTTACGGCTGTATTATGATGTATTCACTTTTCTTAATTTCATTTCTTGTTATCTAACAAATGGCACTTTTGTTTATGTCGCTATTACACAAATTTCAAGTATATAGAAAGTAGCGATTATTTTCCTTTGTAGTTCTGAAAGGGCACTCTTACTATTTAATTTAAAATAAATTATAGAAAATAATTCTATTTCAGCATAATAACATGAAGGTCAAAAAACATTTTTCTAATCAAATATTATTGTAAAAAACCCAAAAAGAATTCTAATAAACTTTACAGAGAAATTTGCAAAAATAATCAAAACCTTATGGAATGAATCACTGTGTGTGTATTAAAAATTCATTTCAAAAATTTTACCACACTAGCTGAAAAAACATAATTTAGAAATTCTTACAACGTTGTTTCACACATAGCCACAATCTAGCTAATTTTCAGGGCCAAAAGTGTTGCTAAATCACCAATAAAAAAAACACAAAAAACTTACTGTTTTTCCATTAACGTTTTGAGTTGTGAAGAGTACTTTTTCAACGATTGGAGATACACTTGAAGTCTAGAAAAAACAAAAATCAGTTTTAATTCATTAGCATCACTCGTCAAGACAATACAGAGGGTTTGAAGCCAATTAACTGCAGTAGATATGCAAACGAGATACCACATAAAGTTTTGTATGGCATCATGCATCCCACAGTATTATAAAACTACCTCACGAAACAAAAGATGAATTCATTTACATAACAAAAAACTATTTTGTTCTGAACAAATCATTAAGTGCAAGAACAACGGTGCAGAACAAAAAAATTAAGAACATTACAGTATGATTTGGGATATGTAGTGCAGGAAACAAAGAAACTATAAAATAATGTCAGAAACTGGCAAAATCAACTAATATATAGTTACAAGTAGAATACAATGTCGGAGGTAAACTAATGAATGGTACAAGATTGTATTTTTCTCATCATATACAATGGCATACAGTTTTGTTTCACTGACATCTAGCATTGCAAACATATTAAATATGGTGTTTTCCCAGCATTTAAATAAGATTAATATTACTGATTGTGCCTGAACTTGACAATAAAGTAAAAAGTAATCTGTTGTATCATTGGTAAGCACATATGAAAAATAGATGTTCATATCTAAACAGTTTTGAACGTGATATTGTAAAACGACAAGGAACACTCCATATATTATTTGTATGCTGCTCCTTACTATTAACATGTTAAATGTTATTAACATGCTGCTTAAAAAATATGAAAAGTAGCTTCAAACTAGTGTGGGAACAAAAGAATATGGAAAAAAATGTTAATACAATATTTGAAATTTTTTTTCAATTTTAACATATCTTAAATAGTGTGTCACACTAAAAGTGCCATATTATAAAAAAAGTAAAATCTACATGAAAATTTGTATAAAACTATTTCAAATATTATCTTTTATACATCTATAATACCATAAATATGCATAAAAGTTCTCTTATAAGTGGTACAAAATAAACACACTATACCTTCACAAGTGATGTGGACGTTTTACTTGATGGCTTAAAAAGTAGCTTTCCAGAAGTTGGTACAATTCCTGCTTGTTTGATTTGATTTAAAGGACTTGCAATTCCACCCTGTTAAATAAAACATACTAATTTTTTATACAATAATGTTTTCATGGAAGTTCAATAAGAACAAGTACAAATTGTGTATAAAACCACCCATGTTCCCACTGATGTTATAACGTATATTTCAGCCCTCCCAATTTGTTCACAAGACTGGAGCAGTTTTTTTTTTATGTATCAGTGAGCTTTTGACCTCAACTCATGACCTTTAAAAATTAATCAGGTATAGAACTTTGTATATAGTACCTGTTGTATAAGTTTGTTCACATCAATCCTTCCAATCTTGAGATATCCTGTCCACAAGAATGGAATGAATGGATAGGGACAAACCAATATGATCTCCTCTGAGATGCCACACAGTGGGGGCATAATTACAAGCTGACTTTTTTATATGGTGAATTACAGAAAAACTGTATGAATATTTCATTCTAGTCAGATTGGACTGTTGGAGTTGTATGCTGTGTGTTAAACTTCATGCTCTGGTGGTGAGTATGTTTTGAAATAACTAGCTTAATTAGCTTGGCTTTCACTGATTTTTACCTAGTAAATGAAAACAAATGTGATGTTTTTGTTAGAATAGTATTCTAGAAATATTTTACAAAAATTACATAAAATTTAATGAATTTTAACATCATATATCTACAATTAATTTGTCATATATTAATTTATAAATGTGTTGTGTCACCACTGTTTGTTTTCTTCTCACACTTAACCTAATTGCTTGTAATTTGGTACATACTTTTTACATGGTATCTAGTTTATGCTTGACAAATATTATACAATTTGATTTAGTATTTGTGTAATATTTTAGGTTGTGAATTTTCAGACATTTTGTCGTGAAATGCTGTTTATAAAAAAAAAACATTAGGAAATATTTACTTTCTTCTTAGAGTTTCCATTATTTTTTATTGTGTGCCTACAATCACGAAAATGTAAGCCCATGAGAGTTATTTTGTTGATAGAACTATAACTGTTGTTCTAATAATGACACACTCCATTCCTCATTTGTTCAAACAAGCACTTACATACAAAGAAAATAACTATTAAAAAATATAAAAAATGAATATATTTGTATGTTATTGAACACACAGTTCAATTTCATATATCTAATGAGTTTTAACTTGTTTTATTTTTATTCCTTATTAATCTTTACCTACTGAAGCAGTTACGTAACTGTGACAATATCATAGAGCACCAATGAACAACAAAAGAGTTAACCGGTAGAAAAACAATTTCCACTCGTATCCTAGGCCTAATTTTTCCAACTATATTTTTCTCTAATAATTATTATTTGTTTTCAGTAACTAAAGAGTTCTTGTGTGTTGTTTAAGCAACAATTTTACTAATGCAAACAAATAAAAAGTTTTTTGTCATCTGAACAGTCTGCTCATGCATAACTCCTAGCTTACCGTATTCACTAACCCTAAATATCCTTATCCGATGTTCTGTCGTGTAAACATATTCCTGTAGATTTAAAACATACATAACATAAAAAAAAAGTTATCACACATGAAAACTGCCTGATGCTGAAATACTGGTATGGGAAGTGAAATGTCAGTGTGAGATGAGGTGGTGTTTATAAAGTTACTCTAAGGACACCTGCTCTTTATCCAAAAATCAAAATAAGCAATTTTTTTATAAGGAAAGATAATGTTTAAATGTCAAACCAATACACATGACATCTGTGATTAAAATCACATAAACTACAGATGTTTTCTTAATATTCCTCTTAATTTGCCTTTTTTAGATTCTACATGTAAAAAAAAGGAGCTTTTCAGATCCATCTTTTATTTCCCAGAAGTCACTGCAAAAGGTGCCTTTCTTTCAGTGTCAAAACTCATCAGCTGGACAAGCCGAAGAGAGAGAGAAAAAAACATCAACCATCATTTGGTAACTCAAATAACGTTTTATTTAACCCTTTGGATGCGAGGATCGGATTTATTGGGCTTAACACTTATAGCCATTTGGTGCGACAAGCGGATTTACTCCACAGTGTCACAAAAACTTTTCCTTATAGTGCAACAATCAGAACACTCACAAGTTCTTGAATTTCCTGCCTTAGTACCATGAGTGCATACATCACCAAGCAAAAGTGCAACTAGTAAACTTTGATATTGGAAAAGTACTACAAAAGGTCAAATTACCCATTCATTCAAACCCAAAATGTAATGACACACTCATTCAATGTTATAGTCAAAAAACTGAATATCCCAATATTCTTTACATTTTTCTTCAATTGACCACATAAAGTTTAAAGCTGTAAGAATAGGCCTTTCATTTTTCAAAACATAAAAGTTATATCTACAAAAAAAGACATATCTAAGTTTTGAAAATTTGAATTATACTGTTACTAGTACAGTCTAGCATAAAAATGGTAAATTAAACTTCAGAAACTGAATGTTAGCATATTACAAATTTTGAAATGTTTCTGTTGGATTTATAAAATTAAAAAAGTTTAAGAGCAAACTACCTACTTCTGAATAGAAAGAAATTTCAAAATGAAAATAAACTTACTGATGGCATTCTTACATACAGCCCCACAGATCTTGTTGCTACCTGTTATAAAAAATAATAAAGATTAATGGAGGATATAGACAAAAATATGATATACCATGTCCTTAGGTGGTCCCATTAAAAACGAAGGTCTAGACTACAAGTAATAAAATCACCTGATCCAAAATTTTTATTGATTCATATACAGACCTTTTGAAATCACTCTCAGATATTATATTAACCCTTTGCAGCCTGGAGGCAACATACTGCTTTTCGTGTGTTTGCCAAAAACAACGACTCGTAAATGTCACCATATCTCAAACAGACACTTCAAATTTAAAGCATGGTAACTGCTGAAATATTTTGGAAACAAAATCAAACTTTTCTTCATAAATTTATGTTCTAAAATTAAATAAAAAGTATTATATGACATAGCTATATATTATGATGTTATATAAACTGTTGACTTGAAAACAAAGTTTCACACTTGCTACACCGATTCTGTGATTCAAGATTCGTCAACATTTCTTTCTTTTTTTTTTATATAAAAATTATCCTCAATGTTGTATAAAAAACCTCTCTTTATACAACAATTATTTTCTGTTATGAATAATCTAATATAAAAACCTTTATGCAGTAATGTCATTGTTTATTTTAACATATATTTCATTCTAATAAACTTTTTTGAATAGTAACAAATGCATAACATCAGGCACTAGTTCACTTATATTATTTTTAAAACTAATACAAATAGATAGTATATATTATTATTATAACATATTTATAAAATTCATATCTGTGCTTATTTTAGAAATTATCTACAGCCACTTCAAAAAAAGATCCACCACTAATCTCTAAGCTCATGCCAAGGCAAAGTGAATGTAATATTTTATTGGTTTCGATAAATAAATCAAAAGAAAATTAGGGTTAGCAGTTTGAACTGTTTATTACTTTATTCAAAACAGATGTTAATAAAATTTATATCAAAAAAAAATTCTACATCTGAACATTTTAGTCATGGTTTTATTTTGCAAGCAATGAGAGAGAGATCAGACAGAAGTTTTGTAAACTTAATTCTGTCCGTCATGTGCCCTCAAGAAGAAAAAAAAAAAGATACTGGGCTGGAAAGGGTAAGTATTGGTTTTTATATTATGACTTAAAGAAATGTCGTGGGCAGGACAAAGTTACCTGAGTAGCTTGATGTTGTCCACAAAATACCATTTGGATAACTATGCTTGTAAGATAAAACACAACATTGTTTCACAATACAAAAATTGTACCACTGGATGCAGTTTTCTAAATAATAAAATATGTAAACAAGTATATAAATGTGCATGTAATACTTGCCTTGCCTTTCCAAGATCCAGCACAGTTTCTTTTCCCACTCAAAACCTTTGCTATCTATGAAGTACATTAAAATTATGTGATTATATTTTCATATTAATGTATCATACCTTAAAGTTCAGTACAATATGCCATACATAGAAATCACTACATTTCAATTTTTAACAACTGAGACAAAAATCAACTTCTAAAAGCAGCATAGCTTCCAGTCTCACTTATAACAATAACTTAGTATTTCTGACACTCAGTAATAATCATTAATCAATCTTTTATATCTTGTTTTATTTCTCAGGATTTCTTTTTACAATACTCGAGCCAAACTTTAAATTGTAACATCCAAATATTTGTGCTTTACAAATGAAAAAATAAAATGGAGAACAATCATGCAGATTTGGTTCCTGGCTTTACGCAAAGCTATGTTTTTAGCTCTAACATAAGACTATCCTCAACTGAAAGTCTTCAACATACATGTTTTTGAAGTTGTTGTGCTTTCTTTTTCCACCTTTCCACAGATTTCTCTAAAGTAAGACACTTCTGTTTTAATCTGGCAATCTCAGTTTTACTTCCTTCTGATAAAAACTCTAGAATTTTTTCACTCACAAGTTGCTCAAGCATCTGTATAAACACAATGAAATCCATATAAACTGAATAAAGAAACACAAAAAAATTATAAATTATTTTAACACAAATTACTAGTACTGATCCAACTAGAACATCCAGCTGCTATTTTGACACTTTTTTTATGAAAAATTGTGGCCAGTTGAATGGAAATGACCCCTTAAAATTTGTAGCTTTCTCATTTTTTGTATGTTTCTCACCTTTTTGGTAGGTGGTGACATGGACTGAGATTGTTTAATTTTATAACAATGCCTATATATTTACATTTTTAAGTATGTGGTAATTGAGAGTGAAACTTGCCTAGACCTAGTGATGTTTTAACTTCAATCAATGTGATTTACTATTTCTTACATTTTGGAGAGTATTTGTTATCTTCACTAGGAGGCTTTGTAGATTGGGATGGTTTGGTTTTATTAAAAAATTACTGATTCATAAAAAGGCTAACAAAATCACAACTGACATTCTTTTAAGTTAACAAATTAACTTCCTCGTACAAACAACAGAATTAAACTTAGCTTTGGCTCTATTTCAATTTTAAAATATTTCATTTTGTACAAATATATCATTTGTATCATTTCAGATTGCTAAGCCTATATTCAACAGAAATCTTCCAAAATTGAACCTCTAAGCTATGAACTTTATTGACTTCTAATTTTATTCATGGTTTCATTCAGTTCTGTACAACTATTATCATAACTGGAAACTTGTATTTGAGCTTGTTATCAGTTTAATAAGTTACACCCAACTAGTCTGACTTCAGTGGATGTGTACAGTATTTTCAATTCCAAACATCACTGGATTAAGTTTAAACACCGAGAAAAATAAAATGATCTAATTTCCAAATGATCCAGCTTTAATATTATATTTGTGGTGTTTAGTGATCCAACAGTTCAAAACAATAAGCACAGACTGTGTTTTATACATATAAAATATGGCTTTTCACAAAACACATGACTTCTTACAGTTTGATTTGACGCAGTCTACGGCCAACTTGAGATAGAACAAAAATATCAAAACTTAAATTCTGCAAAAAATTTTTAATTTTTTCATCAGATTATACAAACAAAAACAAAAAATAAACTGCATAAATAAAATAGGAAAAAAAAACAGTAACAACAAACTACATTTTTAAGAAACAAAGAAAAACACTTACAGATTTGGTCAATACATTTTCATGTTTAACTGTTTCATTACTGGCTAAGCTTTCATAATCTATTCCATTTTTCGTTGGAACTTTCATTTCCCCTTCAACAGCTTCTGCCCAAACCATAAAAATAAACAACACAACTTTGATCATCTTTATTAATTAATTTTTCTTTAACAATTTCCTAGCTATTAAAGAAAGTGTACACAATACACAGAACTGTTTTCAACCAATTACAAGTTCCACTAATTTTATAATCATGCATAGTGTGATAAAATATTTGGCTTAACTAATGTTAGATCTAAGACAAGTGGACTTACGGATTTTGGTGTCTGCGATTAGAACTCTTCTCTATTATTCTAAAAATCTTGTATTTAAAGAAGTACTTTTGCAATAAAGAAACTAATTTAACTGCAAATGTTTTACGAGTCTCTGCTAGTAGTTTCAAAATACATTCAAATTACATTTTTGAAATATATCTTTTATCCCCACTTATAAAACACAAATAACAAAATCATAATTATCAGTTTCAACACTGTTAACTTGAAAATCTGAAAAGCCATTTTAATTTTTCTCTAAGCAGCATGAAAGTAAACTATCTTTCTGTGGCAATATTCCAAACAAATTAAAATGCTTAATTATTTTACATTTGTACATACAAATTTAGAAATAGAAAAACCTTACATTTTTGATTAAAAGACTTGATCTTAAATAGCTAAGTTGAAGTAATTTTTTGTCCTAAGTTTGTATGATACAATGTTACAGTATCACCCAATGTAATTTTTATCAGCTTTATTTTACTGCCAATATGAGTTTCCTGTAAACACAAAATAATAGCACTTAAAAACACACTCCAGACACTGCTGCTTATAAAGCCTTTTGGTCAATACTAAAGCTCACCTGAATATTATGCAAAAGGCTTAGCCAACAGCACTGGGCAATGTGTAAAGTATTATTATTATTATTCTGGAAGCCCATATTGGGCAGTAAAAAAAAAAAAGTTAACAAATATTATTACCAAGTCTTGTACTGTAGTGGTTTAAAACAGCAACAACAAAAGATTACAGGTATTGCCACTACTATCGCTAACAGAATATTCTGAACACTTACCTTCAGTAATACAATCCTTATTACTTTGATCACTGTCATGTTCTGCTTGATCACTTGAAGATGACAAGTTTTTCTCATTCTTTACTTCTTCACTGAAGTCTTTACTTGTCCTTACCTCAGAATTCTGGTAAGTGTTAGATAAGTTATTATTTTCAATGGGAGCTGTAAATTCTTCAGAATTTTTTAAGGAGGTAGTAACTTTCTCAAGCAGCTCAGGAGGTTTACTTTTTAAACTGTTTGGATGTGTTACAGTTTCTTCTTCAGTTCTAACTACTGTTGGATTTAAGTCCACTATGTTGACTGACTGATCTTTTCTTGATGGAGTATTAACTTTGTACAGATCTTCATTTTTGTTTTCACTAAATTTTTGTTTTTTAGATTTTTCATGTACGGGTGAGAAGGCTCGTTTCTGGGTTTTGTTACAGGAACTTTCTAACAACGACAAATTTTTGTAAAAAATAATCTGAATGAGTAATTTTTAATTTTTTTCTTTATGCGAATAATTAAATTAAAGTTAAAACAAACTATTAATCAAAAGATCACACAATTAACCAAAATGATAATTCTACAATTGTCAGAGACGAATGATACTTTCAATTCTTTGAAAGATTACCAACAGAAATATCCATCATGACCAAAATATACTGAGTGTACATGACAAATTTTTCAGTCATGTCTAATTTTGACCTTTGTGAACTTGTACAGGGTACAAATACCAGTGGGAATTGGAAAACGTTGTCCATCTACAAATACCTGTTTGTCATGATTGATAAATCTGTTGTTTCCAGTGCATTTTAGGCAGTATATACATAGTACAGTTATGACTTTAACAGACGGTTCAAACCTTTTTCTAGAAAGGCATTGTGTTCTGGCTTCAATAGTGAGGCTCTCTTTGAATGATAATAACAGAGAATATCAGTCATCATCCTTTAAACAGTTAAGTTTTTAAAAGGTTATTTAAAGAAATATCAACTAAACTCAGTTTTAATTTATGACAGAGATAGTTCAACAAGTAAAATGTTTTTCTACACAAATTTAAATCAGACTGATTTGTGTTACCTTCGCTATGAAATTAATTATAATACCTTTTACAAGATTTTCTTCAGAAGTGTTTAATTCATCTACTTTTTCACTTCTGTCAGAAACATAATCTCTGACAACTTTATCAGTATCTTCTTGGTCTACCTCTTCTTGAGAATCTGAAGAACTCTCTAATTGAAGATGTTCATCAAATAGCTGATTGTCCTCTTCATCCGAGACTTTTTCGAGATCGCCAGAGTCTAGAAGGAAAAAAAATGTAATATACACATAACTGAACTTTTATATATTTTGAAATGCTATTGAACAATGGATTTTAGCCCTTAGCTTGTGCAGATGATAAACTTGAGGAGGTAAGGATAAAAACTGAACAGAAAGGGATGAGAATGAAAAACCTGAGGAGGTTATTGTTATAGGAGATTCTTTGGTACAGCATGTGGATAGGATAGTTTGTGGGGTAAATGGGGTGAAAAAAATTAGATTATGCAACCCAAGGGTAGGGATAGAGAATATAACCAGTAGAGCAAGTGATATAGTAAAGAATGCTACCGGTGATATAGTCTTTGTAGTACATGTAGGGGCTAATGAGGTAGGGAAGGGTAGATAAGAGAAACTTATTGTTAAGTACAAAGCATTAGTAAAGGCATTCAAATAAAAGGGCTATAATATTGTAATTCTGTCAGGGATATTGCCAAGACTTAACCATGAGGGTGAAATTATAATTACGTCACTAGGACTGAATATTAGGCTTAGGTTAATATGTAAGGAAGAGCAAGTTAGCTGTTTGGATTTGTGGGCTCATTTCACTGGGAAAAGTGAAGTTTTCTGAATGGATAGTTCACATTTAAATATGTTAGGGACTAGCTTATTTGCAAGAGCTCTTAAGTCAACTCTAAGGACATATTTAAACTAGGGTTAGACAGTAGAGAGGGCCAGAATAAAGAAGACATAGAAAGGGGTATTGTGTGGGAACAAGGTATAAAGATAGTTTATGGTGAGGTAAACTCTTATTATTGTAATGCTAGAATTATATGACATAAAATGGAGGATTTTGATATAATGGGAATAAGTGAAACCTGACTCAATGTAGACAGTTTTGATGACAGGTATTTCTCTGAAATACAGTGTTATTGGATGTTTAATAGGGAGTACTAAAACAAGGAAATGAAAACTATAACAAGCACAAAATGGTTACAAGGTCGATCCCAGGGACCAAGCCCATCCTGAAAGAGTTAAAATTTAAAATGTTGTTGGATAGTCAGTACGGTTTCAGTAAGTGAAAATCTTGCCTTACTAATCTTTTGATATTCTTTGAAGAGGGTGTAGATTTAACTTATCTGGATTTTCAGAAAGCACTTAACAAGGCAGAACGAAAAAGGCATATTAAAAACGTAGTTGCGGGATATAGTTTGGCTCATTGGATAGAAGACTGGTTAGATGGAAGAAAGCAAAGGGTTGTTATAAATGGAGTTCAGTCAAACTGGATTAATGTCACAAGAGGAGTACTTCAGGACCTTTGCTCTTTTCGATTTACATCAATGATGTAGATGAAGGATTGGTCGATAGATTATTTGAATTTGCTGATGACATTAAAGTTTTTAGTGTTGTTAGCTGTAAGGAGGATGCTACTGCTTTACAAAAGGATTTGGATTATTTGGTAAGTTGGGTGAATAAATGGCAGATGAGTTTTAAATATAATGAATGCTATGTAATGCATGTGCAATATCACAATTTGAATTACGAGTATGATTCTGATGGGAATAACCATAACAATGTTATGGAAGAAAAAAAAAAGATCTTGGTGTCCAGGTTTATTAGTCTTGTAAGCCATCCAAGCAATGTGCTGTTGCTAGTGGGAAAATAGGATTTTTGGTTATATCTATAGAAGTTATAATTTTCCTATACTGAAAAAGTATTTCCAATAGATACTTAACTACACTCACAGTATCAGCTATTCTTGTTCAGTGCTTCCGTTTATATGCAAACATTTTCTTTACGCATGCCACAAGCATTGCACTTCCCCCTTGTTGGAATTAGTACATTAGATTAGCTATTCTCTTTCAGTGCTTCTGTTTATATGCAAACATTTTCTTTATGCATGCCACAATGCCACAAGCATTGCACTTCCCCTTGTTGGAATTAGTACATTAGATTAGCTATTCTCATTCAGTGCTTCCGTTTATATGCAAACATTTTCTTTACGCATGCCACAAGCATTGCACTTCCCCTTGTTGGAATTAGTACATTAGATTAGCTATTCTCCTTCAGTACTTCCGTTTATATACAACCATTTTCTTTACGCATGCCACAATGCCACAAGCACACTTCCCCTTGTTGGAATTAGTACATTAGATTAGCTATTCTCGTTCAGTGCTGCTCTCTATATCCAAACGTTTTCTTTATGCATGCCACAAGCTTTGTGCTTCCCCCTTGTTGGAATTAGTATATTCCAATGTGTCTCTCATGCAAATTATCATGTGTCATCTGTTAACCAATAGTAGCATAGTATAGTCACATGACACATCACTCCCTCTACACTCCTCTCCCAGTTTGAGAAGTTGGAACTAGGCATTGAAAGTTGGGAGTAAAATTTAAATGTTCTGTTGGTGATTAATCGGCTAATTGTAATAAACGTCAATTTTATTTTTGTTTCCAATTTTTGTGTATGTTGTTGTTTTTTTTGGGGGGGGCAAGGGGAGAACCAGATCCTGGTTGACAACTGGCCCTGGCCAAAATTTAGTGACTGGGTACCTGGACCAAGTATTCAGCCAAATTTTACGACCAGTGCATCCCTAGTAAATAGTATAAGGAGGCCACGTCAGCTTGTAAAGTGATGGATCAACTCCAGTGGTTGTAGATATTGTTGAATATGTAAATAGTATCAGGAAGCTAGGTCCACCAGTAAGGGGACAGATCAACTCCTGTGGAGGCCATGTCGCATCTACACCAGCAGAACACCGCTGCCCTACTCTCGACTCAATGGTTATACCCAACTTGGTAGTGGAACCCATTCAGGAGGGTTCCTCCATGGTCTGCATGGGCCAGATTATCAGGAGAGGAAGGAAATATCAAAAATGGTCAAGAAGAATGCTCATGCAAGAAAGAAGGAAGAGGGGAATAAGAAATAGGGGAACGAGACAAAACCTCACAAACCTGAGATACAAAATCCATGCAAGCCATGGAAGACCTAGGAGGAAAAAGGCGATCAAAATCGTCGTCATGCTGAATAATGTCAGCAGAAGCTGAAGGAGCTCAGGTGATGTCAGGGGACAAAGGGTGACCCAAGTAGTGTTCAATCTCCCAAAGGACAAAATCAGAAAGATCCACCATCGGGTTGCCCGCACGTGAGGCCTGAGATAGAAGATTGGTCATTGGTGTGACCCCCAAAGTGGTCACATTGACTTCAGAATTCATAACTCACGAAAACTGCACAAAATTGTCTAGTGCAGAAAAGCGACGATAATAAAGTGGGAGAAATGTGGCAATGTATAACCAAAAAAAACAACAAAAAAATCCACTTCAAACAACAATCAACAATGTGTCACATGGGAAACACAAAACAAAACATCAGTACTCGAAAGCTGCTAAACAACAAGTGAAGGTTTGGAAGAGGAGTGTAGAGGGAGTCACATGCATCATGTAAGCATACTATGCTACTATTGGTTAATAGGTGATGCATAATGATTTGAATGAGAGACACAAATATATAAATTTTTGCAGGGTAGGAGCCATCTTCTGCTAAGATAGCTATATTTTTCTAACAGGGTGGTTGGTCTTTGGAATGGGTTGCCTTCACACACATAGTAGATGCAATTAATTTAAGGGAGTTTAAAAGAAGGATTGATAAATATTTAAATGATACAGACTAGATTAGAGGGTTTTGCTTTTATTTTAGTTAGGTATAATTGTGAAGATGACGTAGATGAACCAACAGGTCCCTTGTTGTCCTTCATTTGTATATATGTATGTATTTAAGTTGTTCTGATCTGTAACTAAACTGTTTCCAAATCAAGTAAGTGTAAAAATTAGAAAATTAGCTTCTGATCCACATAAAAAAACAAGGATTTGGCACAAAACTGTGATGGACAAGCAAATTTTGAAAACTCTCAGATATCATGTCAAAACTTTTTTTTTAAAGATGTAGATGCTGTCAAACAACCTTTCTCATCTAGTGGTCAAGGTTTAAGTAAAATCATAGAAAATATAACCAGCAAAGCTGATCATGCAAATTTTGATTACATGATTCAAAATATAACATCTATGTTTAATATATCTAAGTCAACATTATTTCCATGTTTGAATTTAAGAAAATGGAAAATGAAACTTGTAACTTTAGAAAGCAAAAAAAAGAATAAAGATTATTATTGGTACAATGAAATATGACATGAGTAACAAGAATTTAACATTTATGAACACGATATAGAATTTTTTTCCAAACATATAACAGAAAAAGAATAAAAGAGAAAAAAAGTTTAGTATCATGATAAATACAAATACACTATTAATTTTAGTTTTATACTTTATCATTGGTAGAAGATCTACTGAAATGGCCATGAATGAAAAATTTCTGAAAGATTGAAGTACAAATTCTATCCAAGTTCTAGTAATGAGGTAGACAGAAAATATCTATCAAATCTACAAAAGTATATTAACACTGACATTGCAGAATATCTTACACTTTCAAAAATACTAGATAAGGAGGTTTTTTTAAGACAGATTGATAGTTGTCAACTGCCAAGTGATTATCTAAACGCCAACTTAAATAAACACAACAAAATACTTCTTTTAACACATTTGATAAATTTTGTTTTACACTTTCACAATACTTTACTTGTACTGATATATTTTGATATGACATGCATAAGACCAACACAAACTAAGTTCTGAACATATTAATAATATGCTTGAATTTGTCTGTCTGTAAATTTTCTCAGAAACTTCTTGATCAAACCCTACAAATCCCGTATCATTAGAAAGGCTTTGTCCGAGGAGTCCAGACTGAATATTGACCTTTCAATTCAGAATCACCTTACCTGTTTTTTGCTTAGTCAAACTTTTCAATGCAACAAGTATGGTAATTGATGGCACAATATCATTGTCACCATCTGATGACTGGCTTCAATTTCAACTTTAGTTGTTGTTTTTTTGCAAAGTACTTCACACAAACAACACTTATTAACCCACATGTAATTTCCTAAACAAAATTAAAACATTACACCAAATACAATTTCTATGATCTTTATTTAGGTCTAAAACAAGCATGTGCAAAACTATGTGCTTATCACTTTGTAAACATGCATTCAGACGTTTCTGCATATTCAGCTAAGTTTGCCTTTATTACAACTGTACATTTACTTTACTTTGAATAATTTAGCTTTGGTTCATTTCATAGTCTGCTATAAACACCTCTTAGCTACTTTTTTTGTCGAGAACAGGTTTTATTCTTCATTTTTGTGAGTTTCTTTGTTTCAACTTGTAAAACCATGTCATACACTGAATGCTCATAACTGTTTCATACTTTGTACACTATTATAAATACCATTATTATACTTTATTGTTTACTTTACGTGTAGTTTTATTAAATAAAGTTACGTCTAAGTGTTGTTTGTTTGTCTGATCACGTAAAATTTTTCCAAATAGACAGGATTTATCAACCTAACACATAATGCCTGCAAGAATACATAGCTTAAATGGTGTGCATAAAAATGATAGAATAAGGAAAATTCAAATGAAGGGCATGAAAACTACCACAAATGTTTTGTGGGTCGTGGCTAGTTTTTAAAATGTTCAGAAAGGACCAAATCCAATAAGTGCATATTGTGTTTGTGAAACACTTATGCTCCCACTATTGTTATACTATATGTTTAAGTTCCCCTAATTTGATGATGCATTTCTTATTGTAAAAGTTTGGTCAAAATCCATCAATCCATTCTTCAGAGACATTATGTCCACAAGCCTAGAGTGGAATTTCTATGTATCAGTGACCTTTTGACTTCGACTTTTAAAAGTTAATCATGTGTAGAACTTTGTATTTAGTACCTGTTAAATAACATTATTCAAAGTCCATCACTCCAATCTTGAGATAACCTGTTCATAAGTTTGGGGGGGATGGACAAGGGCAAAACAGAATGTCCTGCTCTTCTTTGCAGAGGGGGGGCAATAAAAATGTCATCAAAAGATCAAAGATCATCCAACATAGTCCACACGTCAAATAAAACACTTTGTTTAAACCAATTTTAATCAAATGCTTTACCACGTTTTTTAAAAGCAGTTCATTAGAACTATCCATTGCATCACAAAAACAAGTATTTTTCTATGCAAGCAAAGATGGCAATACACCCACACATCAATTTCTATCATGACAGTGATGAATCTTTAAAGCTTATTTCAAAGTTGAAATAACTTTTACATTATACATACAAGCAATTAACTGTTTTTTAAGATCTCTTTGGGATAACAAGTCACTCAATATGATAATGTAGATATACATAAGGAGCTGGTTCTTCTTGAAAGATTCTGCTAATAAAGTTTAAGTTGTTCTGATGTGTAGCTAAACTGTTTACAAATCAAGTAAATGCAGTTGCCAGTTTCTGCTCTAGATCAGATGCAAGGATTAGGTACAAATTTATAATGGACAAGAATACTTTGATCTATCTGCAAGCCATGAAATGGCTTACAGTTTTTTAACATAATTTTTTTAAAGCTGTAGGTGCTGTCAAACAATATTTCTTATCTAGTCGTCAAGGTTTTATAAACCATAGAAAATATACCCAGCAAAACTGGTCATACAAATTTTTTATTACAAGATTCAAAATATAACATTATAAGGAGTGCATCTAAGACAATATCATTTCAAAATTCTTAAAAATTAATACAATGGAAAATGATATTTATACACCATATAAAAAAAAAGCCAAAAAATATTGTTGAGACAATAGTGTATGGTAAGTATTTCAAGTAACAAGAATTTAACACTTATGACAATAATACAGGAGACTGTATCTTAAACACTTTTCATTAACAAGTTTAGATAATTACATTTATGACAAACATTCAAATCACCTGCAGAAACATCCTTTTCATTGGGTTTGCTCCTATCAGAAGTGCATATGGAAGTTAACTTATGTGGTTTGTCATTGCAGATAGCTGATTCAGCATTTGGAGAAAGAGAAGTGGGATCATCTTTAGTCTCTTTCTCATCTGACAAGACAATAAGACAAGCTTTGGAAAGCTTCTGCCAAAAATTGTTGTTTTTCTGAGAAATTTCTTCTCCGTCACACGGGAGTTCTTTTTCTTCCCAATCTGGAGGTTCTTCCTTTTCCTGGACAGGAAGTTTTTCTTGCATGTTAAAAAAGATTCCCAAAGAGGTCTTTTTTTCTTTTTTGCTCATAACCAAAAGATAATAATACAATTATTTTATGTTAAAATCTGCCTTATGAACAAAAGAATAAATAAACTAAAGTTTAAATAGAGACAATGGATTTATTACAAGACCGTCATACTTGGTAGATAATTATTGGCCTTGTGTAATATCTAACTTATATTACCATATGCCGAAAGGTATTTGAACCCCCTTACATCAAGTGAATAACAGTAAAAGATAGATGATGATTATAATTAATTCAATTTAAGTGTTGAAGGTACCTTGCAAGGATACCAATGGAAGTCGAAATATATTGCAGATGGATATTATTGAGAGAGTACAGCCCAAATTCTTGCTGATAATGTTTTTCACAATGAAAATATACATTTCAAATTTGCTGGTTTACAAACAACTTTTGTGAAACACTTTTGAAAGGAAAAAAAAGTCTATGTGTTTTGGAGAATTTGAGCTATATGATCAGAAATCAATTGGTAGAGGCACTAAATTCATCACTAAACACTGGTTTAACTTTTGTGCTATTGTGGAATATCACGTACTTTTTTTTTTTTTTTTTTTTTTTTTTACTAAAGGGAGCTGAAGTCAGGTTAACGTTATGAGCATCAGCAAAACTGACAGTATTATAATGATCTATCTATCTATCTATATATATATATATATATATATAATAGCCAAATGTCTGTCTTTCACACCCCATATCTCCTGGACAGTTAATCACACATAAAAAATTGCATATCAAATTGATTCTTTTCAAGAATATATTACAAGAAAATTATTCATTTTTTGCAATTCTCAAAATTTCATATCAATATCAACATCAATCTGTCAGTCTTAGTATGTGCTGAATGGTTAATCTGAGAAAAAAAAAGGCCTGGAAAGAACAGAAATGTTTCTTTTTGTGAGGAAATTTCACAAAAAAAAAATGGGAGTTCCTCTATCAATTGATCGGAAAAATATTTGGAAGAAGAGTAAAATGACAAGGAACAGTGGCATCCAGTGGAAAAAATACCCACTGCTACTTAGCAAAACTAAGTGCTCTATTGTGCTGGATGCACTCACTGCACTAAAATCCAAACATTTTTGCCAACAATGTATTGCAGTCATTTCTGAGGCTAATTCCAGTGTAACACGGTCTTTACTGTTTGATAAAGGGCATCTGCTTGAAACACTGCACAAAATAAACTAGAAAAAACTTTCATTTAGATGTGTCAATTTATTATTTATTATAATTTATCCAAGTTCTTATTCTCACATCTTGTGGAACATCACTCATTCTATAATGACTGTCAAGTATAGTTGTCAAATTAGAAAGACATTTCCAGACCACTTGTATTACCGTCACGTGAAGTTGTCCGGATCAAAACAGATATTTCCACACCATTCATATTACAATCACGTGCAGCTATCAGGATAAGAAAGACATTTCTAGACCAAATAGGTTCTATCTATTACCATAAAGTGAAGATGTAAAGATCAGAGATATTTCCAGATCAAGACAATTTGAGAGGTTTGATGAAGCAGATGCAAATTCTAATTGACTGAAAGTTAGCGTTTTCCTACACTAAAAATGTATTTCCAATAGATACTTACCTCCTCTCACAAAATAACTTTTCTCGACTAGCACTGACCCCTATCAGCACAAATTTTCAACACACACCACTAGCCTTCCATCTCCTGCTTCTGCATATCCACGTGCAAATGATCATGCAACAGCTCTCCACCACTCCCATCGTAACCAGCACCCTCTTCAGATCTGCACCTGTTAATCTCTCCAAGACTGGTCACAAGACCTACACCATATATCATTGGAAGCAGGGAGGCTGGGTGGGAAATGTGAGGGGAGGTAAGTATCTATTTGAAACACATTTTCAGTGTTGGAAAATGCTAACTTCTGATACAATATCTTACCTCCTCTCACAAAATAACTAGAATCTAACATTGAACTGATGGAGGGCCAATAAAAAAAAGATCCCCTTTAGGAAGCGCCCAAATAGAGACAAGGAGGTGTGGAACCAAATGAGAAAACATCATTCCTCAGCTGGAAAATGCATCACATCTGACCCAGATATACTCTTTGATCTTTTATGACAAACTATTACTATGGTCAGCCGCACTCTAGCCACTCGACACCCAGTAGTCCCATTCATTGGTCATACATATTCTGGGATTCTTACCTGTTTTTTTTTTTGTCTTTTATGTTCACAACACCAACCTCAATGAACACATGGCAGTATCTGGAATTGTACATCAGTTCTGTGGCAAGTAGAGGATCACCTACCTCTTCACCTTGAAATGGGAATTGGTAGGGAAGACAAGCTTTTGTACCAAAATCCATCTCCACTTGCATGCATTTTCAACACAGCCAACACCAGATCTGCTGGGAACCGACATCTAACAGACAGTAGGAAAGTGGAAGACTCTGGCAGGATGACATCTCTGGTCCAATACCTGACAGCAATGGGTATGGCACTTCCAGTCTGAGGTAGGAGGAAAATACCTAGACATATACAAGGAAGAAAATGTGCTGCATCTCCAACCAACACCAGGAATGTACATCCAGAGGATGAAAGGGAGGAGGAACATCTCAGTCTGCTACCTGAATATAAGATGGTTTCCTGTACATTGTGTAACTACTTTTGTAAAGTTCATTGAAATTATAAGCTGACATGTCTGATCTAATATTTGTACACAGTTAATGTGGCTACTGGCAAGTAATTCCTGTTGACCTAAATTACGTCATTTCATGATTACCTGCGTATGATACTCCCCTTCTATTTTAAGTAATAATTATTATTATTATTACTTTAGACTTTTTCACTCTTCATCTAGAAGTATAGATTTCCTGGATGTTCTGGTTCTCTTGAGTTTCACCTTAATATAAGTACAACGTACTTGAAGCAACATCAATAAGATAATAAGAAGTAAAAAGTAATTTTTCTAAAATAAATAACATACTGCTTAATATTTTTCAATAAGCAAGCACATATTTAAATTAGGTATAGCTTTAAGCAATGATGTCACCGAAAAGGCTACTTAGACATTTAATTCCAATAGAACAAAAAGCAACATATAGTTCAGGTTCATATCCTTTAAGGGTAACTAATATTTCTATCTTTGAGGTATGCTCACACTTTTCAAGGACATATTGCAAGCTATATTCACTTCATGACTAGCTAGAGCCTGATTTATGATCTGAAAAGCATATATTTTCATTATACCTCTTTTGGTGTTTAATCTTCAAAATGATGCATTATTACAAAAGACAAAATATATTTTGAATACAATTACTAAAACATTAAAGTATGCAGTTCCTGAAACAAGTGATATCGCATTGGAATTTGTGAAAGAAAATCCACACACTGCAGAGCAAATATGAAATTATATATTTCATACTGCCATTACTTAGCATTTGTTGCTATTCGATTTTTAAAAGGTATTTTCATCCCGTGACATACATTTTACGTATTATACATACCCATTCATACTGGTGGCGTGTTACTTTACCTTTTCCTTATCTTTGCTTTGCTAATACACAGGTAACATTAGCTTTATTTTAGTTCTGGAAATCTTAAATGTTACAATCATTTTAATAATTTACCACTTACTTATCTTACCTTCCTTTTTTTTTGCTTTGGGCTACGTTCTCTCTCTTTTTGGTCAAGTGTTTCCTTAAATATTGTTGGCACAGCATCTGGTTTTAACTTCTTGTATTTGGGCTTATAGCCCATTATTTTAGCCTAGAATAAATAATTTATACAAGTGAATAAAAATGAATGTGCATTAAAATGTTTACTTTTTGATGAATTAAAGAAATTTTTACACTTGTATAAAATAATATTAGATCTGGGCAATTAACTCGATATAATTGATTACACTGATTGTTTTCACATAAAATAATTACAATTACAATTAATTCAATAAATGTCACAAAATCAATAAACTAATTAAAATGAATGCTTCCAATTATTACTGTTTCTGATCATTTCAACTACCCAAATAACCAAAATATTTCCATCACGGTCTTTGTATTATTATTAATTCGAGGTTATTCAGCTTAACCCTATGCAAATGGGCCTTGTCAATTTGATGACTTTGTAACCATTATGTTACCATGACACCATACATACTATATCTCTGAATGTATTAAGTGTATTTTCACAACAGTTAGCACGCTTTTATTAAATGTTACAAGTTAACTGTTCACAAAAAGTCAAATTTGTCTGTGAATTTACAAAGCTCTTACTGAGTCAGTCTGAGTGTGAAAGGTGATTTTCATTCTAAGAATAAAAATACTTCTCATCTTGTAGTTCTCATATTAAATTTGAATAACCTCTAGAATCTGTTATATGAATATCATTTTTTTTTTCTGGTAAAACTATATTTTGTCTCTTATTTTCTCCACCCTAATAATAACTGTAGCAAAATCATCAATGTACAAGGAAATGAAGAGTTTAAAAATACGAAATAAATCAAAAATACCTCTTTCTTTTAGTATTACTGCAGATTGTAATATTATTTATCCTAACAGCTTC